CAGCCGTGCTGGGGCCCCCCTCCCCTGGCGGCCCGGCGGAAGTGGACTGCTGATCCCCCGACCCCATTCCAGCGTCACCCACTCTCGAAGCGGGCCCCGAATCAGGACTACTGTTGCCTAGGTCGGTATTTCCGAGACTGTTGCTGTCGGGCTCCACAGGGACGCTGGCTGGGTGAAAGCACGACTCCGAGGCCCAGGGGCCCTCTTCTTCCCACTCCTCGAGCTCCCCAGGATCGAACTCCCACTCGGGACAACCCCCGGGCGGATTACTAGCCTCGGAGCCTGGTGGACCTGAAATTTCGGACCCCTGGGAAACGAAAATCTCGGAGCCCTCGGACTTGTCCCCGGCGAACAAATCGGAGAAGAGTGTGTCGCATTCGCTGCGCAAGCGCTCCTGTGCCTGTTTGACCCGCTCCTTCTGTTGAGCGCGAGCCTTGTTGGCCTTAGATCCCTCCGCGTGGCAAGTCGACGGCCGAGGGACCTGAGGCAGGCGAGGGGCGGAAATGAGGGAGCGGGGGAGAAGCTGTTCGCCCGCGCCGTGCAGCCGAAGTTCTAGCGCACAGTGAGGGCTCCATGGGGCGTCGGTTCTGGCCGACAAGCTGTGAATGTATGGGGGCCCGCTTTCGGGCGCCACCAGGAAATCGATCGGTGAGCTACCTGCACTCCCGACGCACGTGTATTCAATATCGGCCTGACGAATGTGTCCGTGCACCCTTTTCACGAACGCAGAACGCCGAAAAGTAGAAACCTCCTGATTGAAATCCCCCAGCACTATCCAAGGGAGCTGCACTGACTGCAAGAGCGCGCCGAGACGCGCATACCTCTGCGCGTTGTCGCCCGAGAAGCCGAGCGAGGGGCGCGCGTAAAAAAATAATAATTCGGATACTAAAGCCTTGCGTGTGAGCCACGGCGGGAAGGAACCCGTCGAACGAGCTGGGCCCGTCGGCGCAGAAAGCGGCGGCCTCAGACGTCTTGCCATATAGCTTATGAACGTTACGATGGCCAGGCAAGAGAAGGACTTCCCCTCCTTCATTGGCCTTGGCCGCCCCTGCTGCTGAACTGCCTCGTCCTGTGCTGCGAGCTGCATTGCCCAGGTACTTCCACCTCATCGATTGTGACTTCCTCGCCCACTGCGCTCTGGAGTGGCATCCCGCGTGAGTCTCAACCATCCCTACGAGGTCGTGCTGGTCTAGGAACTCTTTGCGCCCGACATGGCCCCATGAGTTGGGCCCGAGACATGTGACATTGCTGGAGAACATGGTGATGACGCCCTTGGCGTCGTGAACTGCTTCATGAGGTATGGCACCTGCGGTAGCATCATGAGCTCCTTATGGTGCCGGCGGCCCGCTCCCTGACACGGCCGAGGGCGCCGTCAAACCCTCGGCGGGAGCTGGCACTCAGGCCGATGCGGCCGCCGCTGCCGCTGCGGGCGCGTGCTCCTGCGCGCGCGCCGCGGCGTCCTCGGCGGCCTCCCTCGCCTGCTTGATGCGCTGCATCTCGGCCTGGGCTGCCTCCTCGGACGGGGCCGCCGCGCCTGCCTCCGCCGACGGCGCAGCCGCTGGGGCTGCTGGGGCGCCCGCTGGGGAGCCCCCTGCGGCCGCCATGGCCGTGGGGCCCCTGCTGTCGGCGGTGGCTGGCGTCTGGCCGCCGCCTCTCTTCGTGGCCTCCGTCTTGCGCTTCTTCTGGATGCGCTCGTGGATGGCCTGCTTCATCTCACTCATCTTCGCCTTCCAGGAGGCGATGTCTGCCGACTTCGATGTCAAATCCGTCTTGGTAGCGATAAGGTCGGCCTCGAACTTCCTCAGGGCGTCCTTCTCCGCCTGCTCGCAATCGACGCTGTCGAGGCTGGCGAAGAATTCCGTGTCCCACGAGAGGTCCACGAACTCTGCTTTGGAGGAGCCGCCGCCGCTGACGCCGCCGTTGTCGCTCGTGTTGATGCCGAGCTCCCTCGCCAGCGCCGTGGCCGCCGCCCGCTTGCCGATCTCGGCCGCCGCGAGCGCCCGCAGGGTCTCCGCCTCCTTGGCGAGAGCGCGCTCCAGGTTCTCGCGGCACCTCTTGACGTGGGCAGCCGACTGCTCATAGCGAAGCGACGCGTCCCTCCAGGCGCCCTCCGCTCGTTTCACCGCCTCTGCTGGGCGCTCGGACGGCGGGGCTGCCGTCGACTTGGCCGACTGCTCCGCCTGGCGCGCCTGCTCCTGCAAGTCCCTCTTCTTCGCGGGGTCCTGCTCGAGCTTGCTCGCCAGGGCCTGTGCCAGCAGACTGGAGACAGTGGGGCTGCCCTGCATCGCCCCTTGAAGGCTGGGCTGCTGCTGGTCGTCCTTCGGCTGGTCCTTGAGTTTGCGAGCCTTGTGCAGCTTCACGGGTGGGTTGCACTTGCGACACTTCAAATCCGACTTCATCAGCACATCGTTGTATTCGCACGTGTTACATCGCTTACAAGTCGACCAAGCACGTGTCATGGCTGCTGCTGGGCGAACCTCTCTTCGCCAGCGGGACTGATCACAAATCTGTTGTGTGTGAGAAGCCCGCTGCCCCTCAAGCACTGCGCGGAAGTGAGAGGCCTCGGCTCGCTGCAAAATGCGCTCGAGCCGATAGTGCTTGAGAGGAGGAGGAGGAGGAGGAGGAGGAGGAGGAGGAGGAGGAGGAGGAGGAGGAGGAGGAGGAGGAGGAGGAGGAGGAGGAGGAGGAGGAGGAGGAGGAGGAGGAGGAGGAGGAGGGAGGAGGGAGAGGAGGAGGGAGGAGGGAGGAGGAGGAGGAGGGGAGGAGGAGGGAGGAGGAGGAGGAGGAGGAGGAGGGAGGAGAGGAGGAGGGAGGAGGGAGGAGGGAGGAGAGGAGGGAGGAGGAGGGAGGAGGAGGAGGAGGAGGAGGAGGGAGGAGGGAGGAGGGAGGAGGGAGGAGGGAGGAGGGGAGGAGGGAGGAGGAGGAGGAGGAGGGAGGAGGGAGGAGGGAGGAGGAGGAGGGAGGAGGGAGGAGGGAGGAGGGAGGGAGGAGGGAGGAGGGAGGGAGAGGGAGGGAGGGAGGGAGGAGGAGGAGGGGAGGAGGAGGAGGAGGAGAGGAGGGAGAGGAGGAGGAGGAGGAGGAGGAGGAGGAGGAAGGAGAGTAATAATAAGAAGAAGACGACGACGAATAATACTAATAATAATAATGATAATAATACTGCTAATAATAATACTAATATTAACAGTAGTAGTAATAATATTAATAAGAAGACTAATAATAATGAGAAGAAGAATAATAATACGAATAATAATAATAATAAGAAGAAGACGAAGAAGAATAAGCAGAAGAAGAAGACGAATATTATATTAACAGTGGTAAGAATAATAATAAGAATAATAGTAAGACTGATAATACTAAGGAGAATAATAATACGAACAAGAATAAGAAGAAGACGAATAATAATAAGACTAATAATAATAAGAATAATAAGAATAATAATAATGCGAATACTAATAATAAGAATAATAATAATAATAGGAATAAGAATAATAATAATAATAATACGATGAATAATAATACTAATACTACTACTACTACTAATAATAATAATAATAATAATAAGAATAAGAATCATACTATCAAGAATAAGCATAATAATAAGAATAATAATAAGAAGAATAATAATAATACTAATAAGAAGAGTAATACTAATACTAAGAATAATCATAATAATGATAAGAATAAGAGGAATAATACTATGAAGCATACGAACAAGAAAAATAATAATAACAATAATAATAATAATAATAAAAATACTAATAATAAGAATAATCATAATACTAATACTAATAATAATAATACTAATACTAATACTAATAATATTAATATTATTAATAATAATAATACTAATATTATTATTAATAATAATAATAATAATACTAATAATAATAATACTGATAACACTAATAATAGTAATAATAATAATACTACTACTAATAATAATTTGTATAGTCTGTGATGTTGGTTGACTGCAGGTTAAGCGTAGGGAAGCGGGGGCTTTGCCATAGCCATTTTGGGTCCGTAGTCGTTGGCTCGAGTTCGAGCCAGGACTCGGGTGGGCAGGGGGGCCGCGGGGCGGCCACAACCGCGGTGCTGCAGTCCGGGGACTGCTGGCATCCTCGCGCTAGCGACCCAGGGTCGCTGGCGCGGGGCGGAGCGGTGCCATGGCGGCGGGCTTCCTGATGGCGCACTTGGCAGTTATGGTTACTTGGTCGGCCCAGGGGGCGATGGGTTGGTGGCCTTATGGTCGCGCGGCGGGCGTTGGGGCCCCCGCGCCGACGGCGCTACCCAAGCCCGGGCCGAATCTTCAGACGGCGGGCGGTGGTGGGCATGGCAAGGGGCGCGGCGCGCCCGCCAAGCTTGCGCCCGGAGCGGGCGGTGGTGGGCATGGCCAGGGGCGCGGCGCGCCCGCCAAGCCTGCGCCCGGAGCGGGCGGTGGTGGGCATGGCGAGGGGCGCGGCGCGCCAGCCAAGCCTGCGCCCGGAGCGGGCGGTGGTGGGCACGGCGAGGGGCGTGGCGCGCCCGCCAAGCCTGCGCCCGCGGCAGGGAAGGGGCGAGGGCCGCCGGCCAAGCCCCCTGGGGTGCGCCCGGCTGGTGCCACGACGACTACGACTACGACGACGGGGGCGTCCGCACGGCGGGCTGTGACCAGGACTACGACGGCCACGACTACGACGACTTCGACGACCCCCCTGAGGCAGAGGCCTGGGCGCAGGGGCGGTGGCGAACCTACGGGTAGCCCCGCCGCGCCGGATCCTTCGGAGCGACCTTCATTGACACCGTCCGGCCAGCCGGCAGCCCAGAGCAACGGTTCGGGCGCTGGCGAGGCCCCGTCTCCGGTGGATCCGGTTTTCCCCGTCGCTGAGCGAAGCCGCGCGGCGGCCAGCTCCGTGGGGGGCGCTGGGAGCAGCGGGCTGGGCCTCGACTTGCTTCACCTCGGCTGGCTGGCCGCTGGTTGGTTGGCCTGCTGCGTGTTGGGAGCCGAGTGCCGACATCGCCGCATGGAGGCTGCGCTGGCCGAGAAGGGCACCAACCTGCAGCTTTGGGCGACCGAGGCGCTCGACGCCGGGGAGAAGCTGGCCGTGGCCCGGTCGCGGTGCACCGCCCTGGAGGCAGAGCGGTCACGGGCCGCCGTGGGTGCTGAGGAGTGGCGCCAGGCCTACGAAGAGGAGGCGACTCGACGGTGGAGAGAGCGCGTTTCACGGCAGATGATAGCCGAGAGGCTCGTCCAAGGGATGAGCCAGGCGTGCGAGTACGAGCGGGCGCGCAGATTATGTGCCGAGGAGATCTTGGCGAGGAGCCGCGCGCACGTCGCCACCTTGATGGCGATCGTCGACCACCTGACGACGAGCTTCGAGCTGGGGGCCACAGGCGCCGAGAACCTCCGGGCCCGCATCGACGAGCTCGAGGCTGCCGCAGGGGCGGGGGGCGAGGCAGGAGTCAGCACCGCGGATTTCGTCGCGGAGCTACGCGCCGTCGGGGATGATGAGGCCGAGGAGGCGGTCCCGCCGCCCTCGCGCGAGCCTGGCGTGTTCGCGACGACCGAGGGGGTCGACGGCAGAGGAGGAGGAGGAGTAGGCGGCGTAGGAGGAGAGAAGGATGAAGAGGCGCAGGCAGCGAAGGCGCCGGCCGCTGGGCCAGCGGGGACGGGGGGCCGCGCGGCGGTCAATCCCACCCCCTTCCGCCCGCCAGATGGCGAGAGAGCGGCGAGGGAGGAGGTCCGCCCGAGAGCGAGGGCGAGGAGGCGGAGGAGGATGAGGAGGACCGCACTCCAGGAGGACGCCCGCACCCCGACCGAGGTTGTCTGCCAACCCCCAGCCAACGGGGGACCGTGGCGGGGCGGCGCGGTCGGTTCCGCCGGCGCGCTCGGATCGGCCATCGTGGTCGGGGTGGGCCAGAACGACGGCTACGTGGGCGACGGGGCGCAGAGCAGGCGCGGCGTGCTGACGCTGAAGTACCCAATCGAGCACGGCATCGTGACGAGTTGCGACGATAGGGAGAAGATTTGGCACCACACGTTCTACGCGATGTACGAGGCCATCCCAGCAGTGCTCTCGTTGCACGCTTCCGGCCCTGCCACTTGTATCGCGACGGACTCGGGTGCCGATGTGTCGCATGGGGTGCCAATCTACGAGGGTTATGCCTTGCCGTGCACCATCTTGCGCCTTGACCTGGCCGGCCGCGACCTCACGGGGTACCTGATGAAGGTCGCTGACATTACGGAGAAGCTCTGCTACGTTGCCCTCGTCTGCGACACTGAGATGCAGGCTGCCACCGAGGTTGGGGACGAGGAGAAGGCGTGCGAGCTTCCGGGCGGCAGCATCATCACCGTGGGCAGCGAGCGCGCCCGCTGCCCTGAGGTGCTATTCCAGTCCAGCTTCACCGGCAGGGAAGCCAGCGGCAACCACAACACCCCTTCCAGTCCATCATGAAGTGCGACGTCGACATCCGCAGGGACCTCTACGCCAACACGCTTCCGTCTGGCGGCATCACCCTGTTCGCCGGGATCGGGGAGCGCATGAACAAGGAGCTATCCGCCCTGGCGCCCTCGACGATGAGGATCAAGATCGCGGCACCGCCCGAGCGTAAGTACCCCATGTGGATCGGCGGGGCCATCCCCCTCACGCAGAGCGCTTCTCAGCAGGAATGGGCTACGAGGGGCGAGTGCGACGAGTCTGGCCCCACCATCGTTCACAGGATCGTCATCCGCGAGGCAGCGATGGGAGGTCCAGCCGGGCTGAACGAGGACGGCGGCCTGGCCATGCCTGGGCGGGGACGCGCGGGCGAGGGCGAGTGGGCTGACGACAGCGCCTCGTGCGTCCTCCCCGGCGCCAGCGCCTATGGCAGCGCTGCCCACAGTGCCTATGCCAGTGATGAGGCCCACCCCAACGACGGCGACTGCGCTGGCACCCGTGCCGGCGCAACCGCCAGCGCCGGCGCCTGCGTTGATGCCGGCGCCGCCGCCCGCGGGTGCACCAGCGCCGAGGCCAACGTCGATCGCGGCCAGCGCGCCAGCACCAACGCCATCGCGTTCACCAGCATCGATGCCAATGCACGCGCAGGCACAGACCCGGCTCCGGATCTCTGGCGCGGGGCCGGCCCCGAGCGGGAAGCACGGCTGCGCCGGCGCGCGCTGGCCCTTGAGGGCGCCAGAGACGCGCTCGCGAGGCGCCGCTCGGAGCGGGCAGCCGCCGTGGCGGCGGGAGGGGCGCCAGCGGAGGCCAAGCAGTACCGGTTGACGGACGTGCTCGAGACCTGGGAGGTCGCGCGGTTGGAACGCGATGAGTTCCCCCGCGAGGCCCACGAGGCCCTGGAGGTGGGGCAGCAACTGTTAGTGGGGGCTCGCCGCCACCCCGCCGCGGAGCAGGCGCGGGGCCTCATGGGGATCGGATCCGAGGCCGAGACGGACGTGGAGGCCGACGAGGTTTGGGGCATGGATTGGACCACGCACGGCACCGCGGGCACCGACAGGGGCCCCGTTTCCGGCACCAACGACGCCGCCGATGTCGTCACCGATGTCGCCGCCTGCACCATCATCGGGGGGCAGGGGATCGTGAGCATCACCGCGGGCACGTGGGCCGCGGAGACGGCCGAGGCCGAGACGGACGTGGAGGCCGACGAGGTTTGGGACATGGACTGGACCAGGCTCGGCGCCGCGGGCCCCGACGAGGGCCCCGTCCCCCGCACCGACGCCGCCGCCGTCGTCGGCACCGTCGTCACCGCCGGCGCCAACATCAGCGCCAACGCCGACGCCAGCGCCGACGCCGACATCGATGCCGACGCTCAGGCTGGCACCGGGCCCACCTACGACACCGGCGCCGCCGCCCCCGACGCCCCCGCCTGCGCCGGCATCAACGACAGCGACGGCGCCAGGGCCGACGCCTACGCCGGGGCCGCCGCCAGGCTGGATGCCGACGACTGCACCTCCGGCTCCGACACCGATGAGGACGTTGCCGCCTCCGCAGCCGCCAACACGGGCGCCAGCGCCAACGCTCCCAACATCACCGCCGATGCCGGCATCAACGTCATCGGCTCCGAGGGCCGCGCGGGCACCGCCGCCTCCTCGGCTGCCGGCGCAGGCGCCGACATCGACGCTATCGCCCACGCCAGCTCAGTGGCCGGCGAGGTCTGGGCTATGGGTTGGTCCAAGCATGGCGCCGGGTTCCCTGACGTGGGACCTAGCACTAGCACCAGCGCCTGCGCTGAGGTCGGCACCAGCATCACGGCCTACGCCAACATCAGCGCCAGCACCGACGCTAGCGCCGACGCCTCCGCTACCGATGCAGGCGCTGCCGGCGTTTCCGCCTACGCCGAAACCAACGCCAGCGCCGACGCCGGCGCAAGCGCCGACGCCGCTGCGAGAGCCGGCGTCGGCACCGATACCAGCGCAGGCGCTGGGACCAACGCCGACGCCGACAGGGGCGTCTGCACGGGCACCGGCGCCCACACTGCCGCCGGCGCCGACGCTGGCCCTAACGTCGGCGACTGCGCCACCTGCTCCGCGCCTCCGCACGCACGGGCTTGGCTCCGCAGGCTCCGTGCAGCTCGCGCGGGCGCTCTCGCGCGCGCGCGCTGCCAGTTCTGCTTTCGGTCGCGCTCAGCGCGCCGCGCGCGTCTCGCGCCCTTCGCGAGCGCGGCCACGCGCCGGCGAGCCGGCGCCGCGCGGTTGGGGCGCGTTTGCTCCCCGCCTGAGCGAGGCCGTGGAGGCCAGTTCAGGCGCGTGCCGTACGTTGCTGGCGGGGCTTGCCCAGCTGGAGCGTCGCGGCTGCCCTCGCCGCCGGCGGCAGGCCGCTCCGCGCTTGCCGAGCCACGAGGACCACCTCAAGGGCGACTCCGCCTCCCCCACCGCCGACGCCAACGCCGACGTCGAGGGCTCGAGGAGGGCTGCGGGGACGGACGGGGTCAAGACGGACGCGGAGGCCGACGAGGCTCGGGACTGGGACTGGACCAGGCTCGGTGCCGCGGGCCCCGACGGGGGCCCCGTTCCCGGCACCGACGCCGCCGCCGTCGTCGACCCCGTCGTCACCGCCTGCGCCAACATCAGCGCCAGCGGCGAAGCCGGCGCCGACGCCGACACCGATGCCGAGGCTCAGGCTGGCACCAAGGCCGCATCCTACGACGCGAGCGCCGACGCCAACGTCCCCGCCCTCGCCGACATCAACGCCGGCGACGGCGCCAACGCCGACGCCTATGCCGGAGCCGCCGCCTGGTCCGACGCCGAGCCGCCGCCGCTGCAGGCCGCTCCGCGCCCGCCAAGCTGCGAGGACTGCCGCGAGGGCGACTCCGCCTCCGCCACCGCCGACGTCGACGCCAACGGCGCCTACGCCGACGCCGAGACCCGCGCAGAAACCAGCACCGACGCCGACATCGGCATGACCGTCTACATTGGAACCGCTGCCCGCACCGCCGACGACGCCCGCGCTGGCACTGGGGCCCGCGCCTACGCCAGCGCCGCCGCCGGTCCCGGCGCCAGCGACGGCGCCTTCGGTGCCGACGACGCGACCGCGGGCGTAGTCGCACACCGAGGCACGCACCATGAGGCGGGCGCTACGCGGTTCAGCTTCGTGGCTGCCCGTGCCGCCCAGCCGGCGTTGGTCATGCCGGCGGGGCTTAGCCGCGTGGGTACGAGCCTTAGGGGCGACGTCCCAGCGGCGGGGTTGGCGGTGGCTGGAAACCTTACCGTTCGCATACCTTCGGATCACGTGGAGGATTGCGCGCACGCCCTGGTGAGGCGCGGGGCCGGGCCCCCTGTCAAGGGCACGCGGGCGCTCGACAGTACGTGGGATCCGACAGGCACGCTGACGCCCATCAGTGCGCCCGCATCCCAAAGCGCGCTTGGGCCTTGCAGCACTCTGGTATCCGAGAGCGTGCCCCAGTCCAACTTCAAGGGTGTGGCTGGGCTCAACGGCAGGCTCCATGGACTGTGGGGTTGTGATTGGATTGGCCGAGGGGATTGGCCCAGGCCTGGCGCCGGGTTCTCCGACGGGGGACCCGGCACCAGCACGGACGCCCGCGTTGAGGTCGGCACCAGCATCTCGGCCCACGCCAACATCAGCGCCAGCACTGACGCCAGCGCCGACGCCGACGCCTTCGATGCCGATGCAGGCGCTGCCAGCGCCACCGCCTACGCCGAACCCAACGCCACCGCCACCGCCGGCGCCGGCGCCGACGCCGCCGCGAGAGCCAGCGTCAGCACCGCGCCATCGCAGACGGAGCGAGGCCGTGGGAGCCAGCTCGGGCGCATGCCGCACGCTGCCGGCGGGGCTTGCCCAGCCGGGGCGTCACAGTTGCCCTCGCCGCCGCCGTTGTGGGCCGCACCACGCCTGCCGAGCTGCGAGGACTGCCGCGAGGGCGACTCCGCCTCCGCCACCGCCGACGCCGGCGCCGACGTCGACGCCAACGTCACCGCCTATGCCGACAACGACGCCAGCGACGACGCCGGCGCCGGCGCCGTCGCAGACGCGGGCGCATGCGCCGACGCCGGGACCCGCGCAGCGACCAGCGCCGACGCCGACATTGGCATGACCGTCTACATTGGGACCAGCGCCCACACCGCCAACAGCACCCGCGCTGGCACTGGTGCCCGCGCCTACGCCGGCGCCGCCGCCGGTCCCAGCGCCAGCGACGGCGCCTCCGGCCCCGCCGGCGCCGACATCGCGACCGCGGGGGTGGTCGTGCACCAGGGCACGCACAATGAGGCAGACGTTTCTCGGTTCAGATGCCTGGCTGCCCGTGCCGCCCAGCCGGCGTTGGTCATGCAGGCGAGGCTTAGCCGCGGGGGCACGAGCATTAGGGGCGACGTCCCAGCGGCGGAGCTGGCGGTGGCTGAGGACCTTACTGGTCGCATACCTCCGGACCACATGGAGGACGTTTCTCGGTTCAGCTGCCTGGCTGCCCGTGCCGCCCAGCCGGCGTTGGTCATGCAGGCGAGGCTTAGCCGCGGGGGCACGAGCCTTAGGGGCGACGTCCCAGCGGCGGAGCTGGCGGTGGCTGAGGACCTTACTGGTCGCATACCTCCGGACCACATGGAGGATCGCGCGCGCACCCGGGCGAGGTGCGGGGCCGTGCCCTCTATCACGGGCACGCGGGTGCTCGACAGCACGCGGGTGCCGACAGGCACGCTGTCGCCCACCAGCGCGCTCGCATCCCGGAGCGCGCCTGAGCTTGGCGGCACGCCGGTATTCGGGAGCGTGCTCCAGCAGTCCAACTTCGAGGGCCTGACCGGTTTCCACAGCAGGCTCCATAAATTGCGTTGTGATTGGATCGGCCGAGGGGCACCCACCACGTCGTTTTCGGGCCCATCGGCGGCGGGCCCGAAGGAGGAGGCGTGCGGGGGTGGCTCAAAAGCGGCCCGATGCGCGCCAAGACCCGACATCGGGAGGCGACGGCGGGCGGGCAGCGGCTGCAATGGCACCTACAGCGGCGCCTACCGCGGCGCCGTCGGCGCCGACGGCGCCAGCCGCGCCAACCGTGGCACCGACGGTTGCGCCGATGGCATCACCGACAGCAGGGACGGCCGCGCCGATGGCATCACCGACGGCGGCGCCGCCGGGGCCAACAGCCGCACCGGCCGTTGCGCCGCCAGCGGCGGCGAGGGCGGCACCGATTGGCGCCCCGACAGCTGCGGCCCCGGCAGCCACGCCCACGGCTGCGCCGACGGCGGCACCGACTGCCGCTCCGACGGCTGCGGCACCGACAGTCTCACCGACAGCTGCCCCAACAGCCTCGGCGGCGTCGACGGCGGCACCGACTGCCGCTCCGACAGCTGCGGCCCCGACAGCCACTCAGGCGGCACCGACCGCCGCTCCGACGGCTGCGGGGCCCGCAGCCGCACCGGCCGCTGCGCCGTCAGAGGCGTCGAGGGCGGCACCGACTGGCGCCCCGATCGCGGCGCCGCCAGCACCGCAGGCAGCGGCGCCGACGGCATCACCGACAGCGGCGCCGACGGCCCCAATAGTCGCTCCGACGGCCGAGTTGTCGGCGGCGTTGGCGGCAGCAACCGCCGCCGCGCCGACAACGGCGGCCCCGACGGCCGCGCCGACGGCCGGCCCGGCGGCGGCGCCGACTGCCGCTCCGACAGCTGCGGCGCCGACAGCCTGGCCGACGGCTGCGCCAGTAGCCCTGGCGGCGTCGACGGCAGCACCTACTGCGGTTCCGGCGGCTGCGGCCCCGACAGCCGCGTCGGCGGCTGCGCCGCCAGTGGCGTCGGCTGCCGCCCCGACTGCGGCGCTTGCAGCCGCACCTGCAGGGGCGCCGACGGCATCACCGACAGCGGCGCCGATGGCACCGACAGCCGCTTCGACGCCAGCACCGACGCCGGCTCCGACGCCGGCGCCGACGCCAGCACCGACGCCAGCCCCGACGCCAACACCGACGCCGGCTCCGACGCCAGCACCGACGCCGGCTCCGACGCCGGCTCCGACGCCGGCACCTCCGACGCCAGCGCGGGCGCCGGGCCAGCGCCTAGGGCGGGGGCGGGGCCGTGGACAGGCGCGGACGTGGAGTTCGGGGCCAAGCACTTGGGCGACGCCGGCGCAGACAACCGCACCGACACCTACGCCTCCGCCGTCGCCCGCGCTGGCCCTATCGCCCGCGCCCACGCCCACGCCGACGCCGACGCCGTTTTCGTCACGCCCGCTGATGCCGTCGGCCTCGCTTCCGCCGCCGCTGCAGGGGTCGCCGAAGTCGCCGGGCGGGGGGCTGGGAGGCCCGCCGCGGACCGTGGGAGGCGTCCGGGGGAGCCTGGAGAAGCCTCCGGGGCCGCCTCCAGGGCCTCCAGAAAGGGCCAAACCCAAGCGTGTGCGGACACCCTTTCGCACACGCTTGAGAAAGGGGGCCGGGGGGGCCCCCTGGCAGGGCCTGCCGGAGCCGCCGGGGTCGCCGCCGGAGCCAAAACACGGTGCAGCGGCGGCGAGGACGGCGGCAAGGGCCCGGCGTCGATCGGGACGGGGGCGGCCCCAGCGGCGGCCCCGAAGGCGGCTGTGTCGCTGCCAGAGGCGCGACCGGCGGCCCACAAGGCCCAGGGAGGCCCCTGGGCAGCCCTGGCGGCGTCCCCGGCGGCGGCTGCATGGACGCAATCGTCCGCGCAGGAGGGCCCCCAGGCGATTCAGCTGCGGGATGAGGCTCGCCACCACCGCGCCGCGGGGCCCATCGGCTGCGAGGCCCGCGCGGGCGCCGTCGCCTTCTCGGCTGCCAGCGCAGGTGCCAGCACCGACGCTTTCCCCATCGCCCGCGCAGAGGCTGGCGAGGTCTGGGCCGTGGATTGGTCCAGGCTTGGGGCCAGGTGCTCCGACGTGGGACCCGGCACCAGCACCGACGCCAGCGTCAAGGTCGGCTCCAGCATGGCCCGCGCCAACATCAGCGCCAGCACCGACGCCCGCGCCGACGACGACGCCTTCGATGCCGATGCGGGCGCTGCCGCCTCCGCGACCGCCCACGCCGCGGCCGGCACCGACGCTTGCACCACCGCCATCTCCGACACCGGCGCCTCAGCCAGCACGGACGACGAGGTCTGGGACTTAGACTGGCCCCGGCTCGGCGCCGACGCGGGCCCCGCTACCAGCATCGGCGTCAACGCAGACGTCGACGGCGGCGTCATCGCTTACACCGAAACCAACGCCAGCGCAGACGCCGGCGACGGCGCCGACGCCGCCGTGAGAGCCGGCGTCAGCACCGATACCATCGCGGGGGTCGGGGCCGACGCCGACGCCGACAGGGGCGTCTGCACGGGCACCGGCGCCCGCGTTGCCGCCGGCGCCGACGCTGGCCCCAACGTCGGCGACTGCGTCGCCGACGCCTCGCGTCCGCACGCGCGCGCTTGGCCCCGCAGGCTCCGTGCCGCACACGCGGGCATTCTCGCGCGTGCGCGCTGCCCGTTCGGCTTGCTGACGCCCTTAGCGCGACGCGCGCGTCTCGGGCCCCGCGCGGGCGCGGCTTCGCGCCGGCGAGCCGGCGCACCGCGGGTGGGGTGCGTCTGCCCTCTGCCGGAGCGAGGTCGCGGGGGCCAGCTCGGGCGCATGCCGCGCGCTGCCGGCGGGGCTTGCCCAGCCAGGGCGCCGCAGCAGCCCTCGCCGCCACCGCTGCGGGCCGCTCCGCGCCGGCCGGACTGCGAGGCCTGCCGCGAGGGCATCTCCATCGCCGCCGCCGCCGACGCCAGCGCCGACGTCGACGCCAACGTCACCGCCTACGCCGATAGCGACGGCAGCGACGAGGCCTGCGCCGGCGCCAGCGCTGACGCGGGCGCCCGCGCAGGCGCCGAGACCAGCGCAGGCGCCATCATCGAGGGGCTGGAGTTCGTGAGCAACATCGAGGGCTCGAGAAGGGGCGCGGGGTCGGACGGGGCCGAGACGGACGTAGAGGCCGATGGGGTCTGGGACATGGTCTGGGTCAGGCTCGGCGCCGCGGGCCCTGAAGAGGGCACCGTTCCCAGCACCGACGCCGCCACCGTCGTCAACGCCGTCGCCAACGCCTGCGCCAGCATCAGCGCCGACGCCAGCGCCGACGCCGACAACGTTGCCGATGCGCGGGCTGGCACCGGGGCCGCGTCCTGCGACGCCAGCGCCGACACCCCCACTGCCCCCGCCTACGCCGACATCAACGCCAGCGACGACGCCAGCGCAGACGCCGACGGCGAGGCCTATGATGACGTTGCCGCTTCCGCCGCCGCGACCGCAGGCGCCCGCGCCGACGCTACAAACGTCACCGCCGACGCCGGCATCAACGCCATCGGCTGCGAGGCCCGCGCGGGCGCCGTCGCCTTCTCGGCTGCCGGTGCAGGTGCCAGCACCGACGCTTTCCCCATCGCCCGCACAGAGGCCGGCGAGGTCTGGGCCGTGGACTGGCCCAGGCCTGGCGCCAGGATCTCCGACGTGGGACTCGGCACCAGCATCGACGCCAGCGCCAAGGCCGGCT